TACAATACACCCTCGATGTTATGCTGAAAATAATTACAAACAAGCAAATATTTTGTAAATAGACATTGTGGCAACAAACGACATCATCAACATTCTTAGCGAGATAATCAAATATTTTTTCCTTTGCGTTTCACTTTTGGGTGATATTATAACTTTTCTAGCATAGGAAAAAAAATAATTATATACTGCAACGAATACAATTAACATTTGAATTGCAATAACCCAGACACATATCACATATTCTCGAGAAAATTGACTTGATGACTATAGCTATACGTGCATTGTGAAAAAACGAAATAATTACAGAATTTTGTTATTGGTTTTGTTTGTCTTCGTTTTTTGGTGCTCAATATTTTTAATATTTATTATTTTTAAATGCATTGCGTACTTTCGTAAAACTCAATAATTCGAATTTTTCACAGAATACTGATCAATTGAAATTTTGATTAAATCGTTCTTCCTTGAGACGGAAGAGAATAAAAATGCAAGTAAAGCGATGAAATCATAAAACAAAAAAAGGAGTCTAAGAGACACTGATCAAGTTACATGCTTCGAAGGCAATTGCATCTGCTATAAGAGTTAGTGACGATAATAAAATACTGGAGTAAACGATTAAAACAAGGCTGACATAAGTCGAATAGCATAATAATCATTCAAAATAGGTGGATTTATCGATTGCTTACGAATGCACACAGAGAAACGTGCTTGTGATTACATAAAAATAACAGCACACGTGTCTGCATCGCATTCGGTGAAGAAAGAAAAATTTTCTTCATATTTGTAAACATTAATATAGTTTCTCAGTATTTTATTATTGCTTTTTCATCACTAAAAAAAATATTTAACTTACGTATGTATATGCAGTTGTATGAAGTGCGAATGATAACTTTTCAGAGATTTATGTTGTGTGGCTACTAAAAGCTGTTCGATATTTTATATACAAGAAATAGAAGATTGAATGAGCAATCGTGTATACATGTAACCATGACGAGGAATGAGTCATAAGTGAAACTTGAAAACCATATTTAACTTTTTCCTGAGGTGACATTGTTCTGAATCATCTCGAACGAGTAATCTATATGATGGGGTGGGGTAGAGTGTGGGTGTGAGGTATGGGTGTGGGCGTGGGTGGGTGTGGGCGGGTGTGGGTTAGAGCCCGTCGGGTAGGACTCGGACCCGCGCGGGTCCGGGTCGGGTTTCGGGTCTGAATTTTTTTTTGTGGCTGGGTCCGGGTCGGGTCCAGATCTGAAGAAAACTTTAATGCATACAATGTATTGTGAATTTTTTCAAAATTTTGTTCGTTTTATCAAGAAAAAAAAATTGAATGGATTTAGAAAATATACAAAAAAAACAACAAAAGACTTTTTGAATATATTATCGAAACTGATTTATCATCGTGCTTGGATTCAAAAAATTTAAGCGACCGGGTCCGGGTCTAACCTTTTTTGAACAAGCGGGTCCGGTTTCGGATACGAGTGTAGCAAATTGTAAACGGGTCCGGCTTCGGATTCAAAAATCTTGGACGCGACGGGCTCTAGTGTGGGTGGGTGTGGGTGTGGGTGTTGGTCTTCTCTTCTATCACACCCACACCCTGAGTATCTAGAGTAACTTAACGCACATATTTACTTATAAAAATTAGCTATAGGGAAGTTCGTTATTGAAAAATATAAGTATTTTAATTTTTGTGACGTGACATCGCAAACTTGGAGTATGCATATCTTGGAATTACCAGCTAGTTTAGCTTGCGATTTTTGTATATTGTACGAGGCTCTATTTACTGTATATACTACGAAAAATGTCAACACTTTAGAGCTTTATTCAGAGAAGTTATTAAAGGAAAAATAGCGTTTGTGACGTGCCACCCAAAAAAGAACATAAACTGTTACTTGATATACTTTGGTTTTTTCAAAATTTCAAACCGTTGTACGATTCTACACACGGCTTCTAAAGCTACCAAATCCTGCTGTAAAATTATTTTAAGTTGGTGTTAACGACGTGACTGTGTACGACTTCATTACTGGTCAAATGTTTTGCCGACGAACTGAAAAGTTCGAAATCAATACCAAGGGGATCATAGTAATAGTAGGAGTCCCTAGGATAATACTAACACAAAGGTTTTCGTTTCGGCTCTGAAAGGTCGATTTTTTGGAAGCAACTTTTTGAAGCTCGATCTTGCTGAAAATTTTATCATATATGTGGTTCATATCCTAGAGACTATCCTGAAGTTTTCAAGTTTTTATCTCATTTGGTTATCAAGATATTCACTAATTAGTTCTTAATTAATTAATAACCACATGGAAGATCAGACAATTTTACATAATCCTATGCAAAAACAATTTACTGAAAAATCCTATACTGATAGAGAATTATATTCAAATATAACAGCTGAATGTCCCATTTTCGCTGATTTAGCCCATATACTCACAGTCTAAATCGAGCTCTATTATTTGATTGTTCTTCAATTGATATCATTATATACAGAATATAGTAAAAACACCAGCAGCTTGGTGAAAATAAAAATATACAGGACGAGTCGATAACTGTTGAAATCGATCACTCGAGAAATCTGGTTTCTTCTATTTTAAGTTCCCACATAAAGTATCCGAAAGTGATTTTTGATGAAATTAACCATAGTAGTACTTGTTTGATAGCACTGCTCAATCTCGATAAAATGACAGAAAGAGAGCATAAAAAGACAGATCCCTAAAAAAAATGTAAAAGATATTATTGTAAATCACCGTTGGAAACTAACTCAACTCGTATGAATTTTGAAGTATTTTCATAAGCATTTTTTTTTGTCAGAAAAACAATCCATGGTCCCATACGGTAGGGTGAAATCTTTATAACCTGAAAATAAAACTTAAGAATGAAAGAATAATATCTGCACACGATTCAAGTGTGAGTTGAGAGAAATCGAAGAATTTGATCGACACTAAATGAATATTCTAACGTGCTTTCGTTATGAGAGCAACATTAAATTGTTAAATATTTTCCATGAAAATGGCAAAAACAGCGAAATTCCATGATGATCAATATATTTATGATAAAAAATTTCAGAGAATTTGCATTGATTATTCATGAGACAAAATTTGCTAATATTTGTAAACAATGTATTCTATCTTTTATTAATCGTATTTATCAAATATTGAAAACTAAATGTTGATCGAAAGTCCGTCAATGAAAGTAGTTATATGACATAGTTTTGATCATCATACATTTTTAGATAAAAATGATCACCCAGAAAAAAAGATACTTTTGACCATCAGATTTTTCAATATTCATCCAATTTATTGATTTCTACAGAAAAAAAAGTACAACATCCAACAAAAACAGGCAAGGAATACTTGAACACCTTTATAACATATCTATTTACTATAAGCTGTGCTAACTTTTTTGAGACACCATTTTGTTTTTCATTTACCTAATATCTTATCATTGACATAATATTAAATGAATAGAATTCGTAGATACAAGAATAGCATTTTTAAGGTTATGTATTCGATGTTGACACACACTATATGATTTAGCAACAACTTTATGAATGAACTATACTTAATAGAGACTAGTTTAAAGTTGACATTTTTTAAAATGAATTCTATTCAATTTTGTACAAACATATACACCAGATACTTATTCAGAAATAGAAATCACTGTTTTAAATATCAAAGAAGACAAAAACTGATAATAAATAAGGAAAAAATGGTGCAACACAACTTTTTGTAAAATTTGATGATAAAAAAATTGTCACTCAAATATGACGATGAATATTTGAACTTCGAACAATCATTTATATTCTTGTGCTAATTAAATAGATTGATATTCATCAGAATTACAACCGAGCCAATTTTTCGATAAGAATACGTAGAAAAATGCTTAAATCATACATTATTTTCATCATTTATTTCTAATCAGTTTTGAACAGATTCCAATCCTGATATTCATAACGATCAATGCACCTCGATATAATATCGCCTTAAATCATCAATAAAATGTTTTTAATGTGGACAAAGCCTATCATCATAAAAATCTTTCTTTTTTCATTAATATTATATATGAATATGTCTTACAATTAGTCACGAAATAAAAAAAAACAGAAAAGAAAAAAAATATATCGAAAAAACAGAAGAAAATAAGATGCTTCACACCTTAAAAAAAGTCGAACACTGTAAACACCTAATCATGTATTTCGATTAGAAATATTTTTTTAATTATTATACACTAATATGAAAAGAAATAATAAACAACACGTCAACCACCTGTAATAGTTATAAATGCGATGTAATATCGAATAGATTCGAATATATTGATGAGTGTTTTCAATCAATGTCTTGCTTCTAAACACGTATATTTACAATTCTCAGTGGCTCAGAATGTTTATATGGTTTTTTCTAGGTTAATATTCGATAAAATAGTACAATACATATGTGTTCGGTTGACTAATAAATTTAAAATGATCTGAATCCAAAGAAAAAATTCAATTTTTTGTTTTACTTCATAGAATATGACTCGATCATGAGAAATATTTAACAATAAGGAAGTTACATGTTCATATCATTAGAAATCATGAATAATTTTAGAAATTTTTACATCGAACATTTACATACATATCCTTTATAAATATAATTTAGTATCATACATCGATCTGAAAAACAGATATACAATTCATGTTTGACCTACAGTTAAATGACTTTTCTTTATAAATGCATTGGTGTAAAAGAAATTATAAGAGCAAAATAAGACCTGATCAACGAAATAGAATCAGAAAATTAATGCATTCAAGCATAACTTCAAAAATCTATTATTTTTTTTCTTTTTTCTTCTTATTTCACTCGTTTTACCATACATATTTTTGTTATATCGTATATAGTCATTTATTTTTTGTCCCTTTAATATACAATTTGATTTGCTATAATATTCCTAGGGTATATCATATCAAATATGATTGCATATCAATAGTGATATTTTTGTCTTTGTATTTCTTTTCGAGATAAATAATCAAAATGGGTACAAATCCTTCTGATATGAATAAAAGCATTCAAATTGAAAATTCATCAGTATCTGTTTCTAACAAAGAACAGAATCAAGAAAAACATACCAATGTCGTAAAATCTATTGATACAAACTTATCAAAAGAATTATCAGAACAAAGTAAAATACTTTAATTAGTTTTTAGTTTTTATATGTTTCTTGTAGTCTTAGAACAGTCGATTCCATCTGCTGACAATGTACTTCAGGAACTTAACAATCGTTCTAATGTTTCTGGCAATAAGTCTCCTTTATTGGAAATATCCGAAAGAGAACGATCAACTGTAAAGAATAGTTCATTAGATTATGAACTTCAGTTAAGAAATTTTCTTTTATATTCTTAACAACGAAATTCTTATTTATAGAATGAGTGACAATGAAAATACTGATGAAGAACATAAAACTACGACATCAGTCAATCAAACAAATAAAACATTTGAAACTGAACATCCAACGTCATTTGCAACAAATGTATTAAGTAATACTAAACGAGAATTACTTCATACATTTAAAATAATGAAAATAGCTACTGATATTTATGATACATTATTTATTGAAGATTTAGAAGATTCTGTAAGTCCATTACTTCGTGCTTTAGCTATTCGTCAAAAGTATGATTTAAATTATTTTTTTTTAAATTAAACTTAAATTTTGACCTTTATAAAAGATATATGCACCACAGTTTTCAATCATATCCATCAACGGTTGAAAATTTTTTAGCTAAAATTTTAGAAGATGATGATCAATATCAACGTACATCATTAAATGTCAATCTACCAAAAAAAGGTTGGTATCTATTAATCATTTTGTTTTTCTTTATTCTATAACTCTGTTCTTTACTTTTTCTCTTGCTACTCACATATATATTCTTTTATTTATTGAAGCGTGTCTTGTTATTTAATGATACCTTGTTTTTAGTCAACCCCTTGAGGATGGTTTCTTTTTTAAAAGAACGCAAATTCATATCAATGATAAAAAATGTCTAAAAGTATTGTAGAATATGATAATCTTGAAAACGATTAGAAATACAAAATCTGACATCACATTCAGTAAATTCGTATCTGATGTCAGTTCTCTTTTTAGTTCTTCTTGTTGTTTTCACACAAACAATATATTTTCTTTGAGGATTTTGTTTGGTCGATATTGAAGGTATGCGTGATGGAAAACGGCGAGCAATAAGTTTAACAGGATTGTCCCCCAGTGCTGGATCGACCTGCTGATGCTTTTGGTTTCTCGTACATTTCAATAATTTGACGACTCATCTGTAATCGAAAGTTACGAGAGTGAATAGTTTTACTAGTCTTTTGCTTGTATAAAATATGTGAATTTATGATAGATATATCCAAGAAATGGAAAAAAAAAGTTTTTTTTTAATACCATTTGACTATTTTTCTTACACATTCGACATAGCTAATCTGCATATCAGATCTATCACCAGCATTCATATTTTCTATATAGTCCTTAACAGAGATAGATTTTTGAATTTGCTCGCCACTTGTGTAGTCGAATTTTTCACTATTTACCATCTTTAATTCGTGTATTATTGAAAGTATCGTAACTTCGCGTTTGTCAAACCATCGTTCAAAAAGTAAAATATCGGTATGTTGCTCATAATCGTGTTCACCTCTTTTCAGCTTGTTCATAAAATAGTTGATTTGAAGCTAAACGTATATATACGTCGCCTGTCTCCAAGGGGTTAATAATGAAGTATTATTTGAACGAATTTATGAATCTGTACATTGAATAGACGAGATAAAAACAACTTACATTTAATAATATTCATGAAACTAATTAAAAACAAAACTCTAATATTAATTTTTGTTTTTGTTTTTACTTTTTCAAATTTGTAAAAACGAATTTTTTTAATGAAATGTATTAATATGTTATTATAAAGATTTTTCTTATTTAGAAGAATCTAATTCATCTACTACAGCAGCTATAAAAGTTGAAAGTCCATTTACTCATCCATTACTTCCACCTATTGATGCTTGTGTTAGAGCAGAAAATGGTATATATCATGTTTATATACTTAATGAACAAAAACAATGGATACCAGCTAATTATAAATACATAAATTATGATGAATTCATTAAGGATTTTACACTTATATCAAAAATGACTGTTGATGGTCCATTACAATCATTTTGTCATCGTCGTTTACAATACCTTAAAACAAAACATGAATTACATACTTTACTTAATGAAGTTAAAGAATGGTCCGAAGCTAAATCAGCATCACATAGAGATTTTTATAATG